TGACGAGGATATTAATAGAAATAGAGAATTACAAAAATTATGAGAACATGGGAGGAAGGGAAAAGAAGTAAGACAATTATTTTAGGAAAGGATGGAGAACATGAAAGAAAAAGAAGGGAAAAAAGAAGAAAATGAGAGGAAGATGAGAAAGAGAAGAAGAAGAAAGCGAATTAATACAAGGACAAGGAGGAGAAGAAAAAGAGAGCAACAGTAGATTAAAAAAAACAAGGAGAAAGAGCAATAAGAAAAATAGGAAGAAAACATACAGAAAAAGAGAAGTTGAAGGAATATGGAAAATGAAGAATGAGTGTCAAAATGGAGAGAAAGATAAAACATTACACTTTATTGAAAAGAATAAAGAGAAAGAAGGTGTATGAGGATAAGAGAGAGAAAACGAATGGAGGAAAATATAGAAGGGGAAGATAAACAAAAAGCGAAAGAGTGAGAAAGAGTTTGCAGACTAAGTTAAAATTATATATATATATATATAATATATATATATATATATATAGATGGAGAGAGAGAGAGAGAGAGAGAGAGAGAGAGAGAAGGTCAACAAAGAAAAAACGAGAAGAGATGAAAATTAGAGTTGGTTAGTGAGAAAGTATGGAGAATATGAAGGAAAAAGAAGGAAAGAAAGAGAGAAACGATTAAGGAAGATGGAAAAGAGAAGAAGAAAATTAAGAACAAAAAAAGGGGGATTAGAATAAAAAGAAAGAACATGATAAATATTAGAACGAAAAGGAGAAGAAAAAGAGAATTAGAGTAGTAGATTATGAAATGAGGAGAAGGGCGAAAAGAGGAAGAATGAAAATTTTGAAGTAGAAGACAACGAATAAAACAGACAATGAAGAAAAAGGAAAAAAAGGAAAAGATAAACACGCACAAATGAGAAGGGAAGTTAGATGAGGGATAAAAAGCAGAAAAAAATAATAAAAATGAAATTAACACATGGAATAAACAAAAAGCACATGAATACTAAAGCAGTCTCTTAACTAAGGCAAGATGTATACACTCAGGAAAATAATGCGGTCATTCAAAATGGAGGTACCTTCTTATTTAGAAGGCGAGCCTTAAACTTGGGGAATTTTGCCATCATTTCTTATTCCAACTCAGCTGAGCTCTTAAGTTTTACTGGACGGTAAAGTTGAGCTGTTTCGAGTTCAGGTTCCTTGGGCCTTGTCAGTGTAAGCTTAGGATTCCTCTGCACTGATTCCAGCCATACCATCCTGAAAAATAGTTTAAATTTTTAAAGAAAATGTACTAGAAAAATAATAGAACTTTTAAGCAAGTTATTTGTATTGATATGTGACATGGAACAATTCAAGCGTGGCATTGACATCTTCCTTGTACTAGATTCGAACTTCTTCATCATTTCTGCCATTGAAATAAATGGGGCTGCTGGTTCTCGAACACAAATCTGAAATAGAAATTTTCACCACGTATTAGATTCAGAAATTAATGTCCATAAATGAAATGCAAGACATAAAAATGCATACTAACCTTTCTGTCGTCTGTACGTGTTTCAGCAGTTGAAGTGAACAAGTTGCCGGTATATTTCCCAGGTCTTGTTTTATGTAGCTAAGTTTGGGGTTTGATCCTAAGGATATAAGCAAAACTGAGAACAAATTGAGGAGATCATATTAAAAATATGTGAAAAATGATACACTTAATAAGGTAAAAAATTTTAGTCAATAAATGACTCACCTGTCTAGCTTTTCCCTCTTCAAGTTTTTGCTCCTTATAGAATGATTTTATTGAGCAAAATTTGGAATTTCAGATGTAATTTTCATATGTGTTCCTGAGAGTCAATAATTGATAAGAAACATATTACACAGATAACTAGACAAATATGGAAACTAAAATAGAGATATCGACCTTGTTGCACTAGCTGGATTAATGCTTTTCACTTGTGATTCAGATTTTGACTTCAATGCAGAGGGGTTTGAGATCATACTTGCTATTGTTTAGCGGTCTGGTGCTTCTTAGCAATTAGCATCAGTTCGTTGGGCTGTTTTCTGAGAAGTTATTTTTGGTGGCTGAGGGGTGCATGCTCCCATTCAATAATCTCAGCAGTCAGTGAAACTTAATTGAGGCAAACCAAAAGTATAAACGAAGTTGATATTCACAGAGTAGAGGGAACCTTGGTAGTGAGGACAGTTTCAGAAAATTAATGTCCATAAATGAAATTCAAGGCATAAAAATGCATATTAAACTTTCTGGATTCTGTACGTGTTTTAGCAGTTGAAGTGTTCAAGGGTCCTAGTAGATTTCCCAGGTCTTGTTGTATGGAGCAAAGTTGGGAGTTTGATGCTAAGGTTCTAAGCAGAAGTGAGAACAAATTCAGGAGATCAGATTCAAAATATGTGAAAATTGATACATTTAATAAGGTAAAAATTTTTAGTCAATAAATGACCCACCTTTCTAGATTTCCCCTCTTCAAGTTTTTCTCGCTTCATAGCTTGATTTTCTTGAGCAAAATTTGGAGTTTCAGATGTAATTTTAATATTTGCGTTCCTGTGAATCAATAATTGATAAGAAAATATTACACAGATTTCAGCTCACCAAAATAAAGAGATATAGAACAAAACAAGACAAATATGGGAAGTAAAAGAAAGATATCTACGTTCTTGCACTAGCTGAATTAATGCATTTCACTTGTGATTGGGTTGCTGACTTTAATGCAGAGGGGTTCCTGATCATACTTGCTATTTTTTTTAGCTGTCTGGTGCTTCATAGCATCAGTTTGTTGGGCTGTTTTCTGAGAAGTTATTTTTGGTGGCTGAGGGGTGCATGCTCCCGTTAAATAATCTCAGCAATCAGTGAAACTACGTTGGCTTTGTCAGTGAAACTTAATTGAGACAAACCAAATTGTATAAACGAAGTTGATATTCACAGAGTGGAGCAAACCTTGAAGTGAGGACACCTTCTTACAGGATCCTTGAGAACTGATATTACAGCAGAAACAGAACCATGAACAGCTGACTACTTGTCACCAGATCCCTGAGAAGTTAGCGAAATGTAATAAGAACCATAACGCCCAAAACAACAGTAGAATACTATGCAGATGGAGCAAAACATACCAAATTGCTTCCCCGTCAGGAGTCACTTCTTGAGAGAGAGAGAGAGAGAGAGAGATATCAACAAAGAAAAATCGAGAAGGGATGGGAATTAGAGTGGGCGAGTGAGAAAGGATGGAGAACATGAAGGAAAAAGAAGAAAAGAAAGAGAGAAACGAATAATGAAGATGGGAAAGAGAAGAAGAAAATTGAGATGAGAAAAGGGGGGATAGAATAAAAAGAAAGAAATTGATAAATATTAGAACGAAAAGGAAAAGAAAAATAGAGTTAGAGTAGTAGATTATGAGCTGAGCTGAGCTCATAAGCTTTATTGGACAGTAACATTGAGCTGTTCCAAGTTCAGGTTCCTTAGGCCTTGTCAGTGTAAGCTTAGCCTTCCTCTGCACTGATCCAGCCATACCATCCTGAAAAATAGTTCAAACTTTTAAAGAAAACGTACTAGAAAAAACAATAAAACTTTTAAGCAAGATTTGTATTTACATGTGACATGGAACAATTCATGTGTGGCATTGATATCTGACTTGTACTAGATTCAAACTTCCTCATCATTTCTGCCATTGAAATAAATGGGGCGTTCTCGAACATAAATCTGAAATAGAGATTTTCACCATGTATTAGATTCAGAAATTAATGTCCACAAATGAAATGTAAGACATAAAAATGCATACTAACCTTTCTGCTTATCCTCATCATCATCTGCCATTTCTCTATCAGACGTCATCATCGTCATCGTCATCATCATCACTTTGAAATCCATCCATCTCAACCTCATCTTTAGCTTCCTCTGCCTTTGCAGCTTCTGAAGATTTAGAAGGTAGAAAATGATATCGAACATTAAGAGAATAATCGAATATACCATCTAAAGTGCAAATGAAACAAATAGAAAAACCAGTATGGGAAGAACATAGGAAAAAAAATTAAAATAGTTACTTACCAGCAAGTTGCTCGTTGTGCATACAAGGAGGTCAAGAATGGCCTTAAAAATGCCCTCTAAGCTTGCTGCTGGCATTTGATCAGCAGGAAGACTGAGCAATGATGTCAAGCCCAAGCAGCAAACCTTCTACTCATGCTGCTCCCTGCAATACCAACATGGTAATAATTAGAAACCTATCACTTTCCTTAGCTTTGTTTTTCTTATGCCTTTTACATCTCTCCACAAGAACTACAAGACCAACATATTGCTAGCTTTTAGAATTAGCCCGAGCTTCGCTTTTTTTAGTTTGTTGTAGCATATGGAACCAAAGATTGAAGATCTCTGTAGGCAACACCAAGCAGTATGCTCAGCGTAAATGAAGGGTTATAGTAAAGAGCATCAGCAATCTGTCTATAAGAAACAAATTTAGAAGTTATTTCACAGGAAAAGGACACAAACACAGAACGTGTGAATCTGTAGGGGAAAATATAGCAAAAAGAAGATCCACTAAAAAATAAAGTATCCACTAATTATTTGGTTTTAATACAGTAGACTTCATGTATCATTTAAAGATATTTCACACCCAGCTCATATATCAGGTATATGCAGAACTGCAAGTGCACTCACAACCTTTCATTGAAATTTGAACTCATTTACATGCCAATGAGACCTATGCCTCCTCAGCAGGAACAAAGGCAAAGAAACGAGTTCAAATCACAATATTACTTGTTAGATTATTAGCCACAAATAAGTCTTCTAATCATGCAAAGGAACAGTACAGACATAATCTCCATGTTTTATAGATTGGGAATCACTTCACAAAAAAAAAAAAAAACAAAAAAACAAAAACAAAAAAAACAAGGGAAACAAATGAATATGTATAAACAGAGAAATATTTAAGTATCTTACCACTTGGATCAGGAGGCACTTCAAGTATGGTGTTTCACTTCGATGCAGACATTCAATTAAGATTCTGAGATATGGCTCAACCCAGTGATCGACCTGTCCTGTGCAGTTCTGGAATGGAACTTCGATGAGCTTAGGTGCAGACTCGATGTCACTATCTTCTATGTTTTTGTCCCATCAATTTCAGGTTTTCTCTGAGTTCTCTCTATATATAGACCTGAAAAGTGAAAAATGCATATTATGGCTACCAAGATGATTCTTGTGCTCCACGGACATGTGCATGTGCATTGAAGGCACTGGATATAAAACCAAAGATCATTGTGAATAATAAAGAAATACTACTCTATACAAAAAGCTATAATAAGTAAATAAGCAGACACAATACTTACGAAAGGGTAAGGTGAACAAGCTTGGGAAGGATATGAGGCAGCACAGCACTGGTCCTGACACTGAAAGAAGCATCCAATACATTTTAAAAATCAGAAAAGGTGCCCAGGCAGATATGTAAGAAAATACACATTTGCAAATGGTTTTCAACCTTAAAATCTGTTTTAAACCATCCAGAGCAGTATCAGGGTTTGATCGTCCTCCAGAGCATGCAGAAGTGTCGGAACAATCTCATCTATTGCTTGCATTCAGGAAAGCAGTAAGAAATTTTTCATACAGGAAAGGCACAAACAAAATTGCTTCCTTCAATACATATGATGTTTCGTAACATACATAATAACTTCAATACGTTGTGAATTTAGTAAGCGTTTCAAGATAATCTTTGACGAGACAAATGTTTCATGTTTTCCAGGCATAATCCTAAATGTTCAGAAAGATCAAAGGGGAGCAAGCAAATGAAAAAGGTGCATACTTTGGAATATGGATGAAGGTTGGCCATCATGGATCATCAATCTTCACTCCAACTTCTCCAATTCATTCAACCTCTCTATGATAGCCTGCAGTTTCAGCAGAAATCAAACATTCATTTTTTCTGCAAAATCTAAGGAAAGTACACTTCACTAGAACAAGGATAAGGCACAAGAAAAATCCATCTTCTCGCGATTACACTCACCTTCTGACTTGTTTCTTGGAGCTCCCCAGCGAGAACAAATTCATCTAAGATTAGATATACCTTCATAAGAAAACAATCAATCAGAAGTATAAATTACAATGCAGCATACACAAGGTGAATACACTACCTTGTGAAAGTTAAAAACCAAATCTAACTCCCAGACATTACTAAAAAAGTGATCCAGTATCTCCACAAACAAGTGGATGCACTCTAAATAAGCCAACACGTTGTCCATCATTTCAACACAGCGAGAATGACCTTACACTTGTGATCCAAAGGTTCAGACAAATGTAGAGGACTGTTTTATAGTTGATACTCTAATAAAGGGCATAGTTCACTGCATGCCATAAATAGGCAACATAGTGTCTACGTATAGCTTATTTTGTTGGTTGCAATCCTTTTAATAGTCTCATAGTCAAAACTAGCAATGTGTAGAAATATAGTAACAGCTCATAACCCTGTGATTGGAATGAAAAACTCCTTTAATGCTTGCTCACTTGTCACTTCAATTAACTCTCCACGGCCCAAAGCTGCTTTCTCTTAATTCAGCAGATCCAAGAGATCCTACAATAGATAATAAAAGAAATTCACATAACCAAGCAATCAAAGCTCAACAATCTTGCATTCCTAATACTTGTTACCAATGCTTGTAATAATGCAAAACAGATTCCAAAATCAACAACAGCAATAATAAAACCAATCTTTATGTATCATTAATAGATTATACATAGTTTCTTACATATAATAATTCTTGGAAGAATTTCTATGCTATAATTATTAAATATTAGAAAATTTGGTATACAAATGAAGAGATTCTTTCAATTTATATTTTAAGTTCACAAACAAAAGATAAGCAGGAATACCTGGAGGAACATAAGAAGCATAGGTTGAAGATCTTTCCGGGGGCAAAATCCAGGTATTAGAACTGGTCCTTCCTGCATGTTTCTATACATCACGAACCAACTTTATATATGAAGGAAGAACTTCTCCAACTCCTTTGAGACGCCCCAACAGCAAAGACTTGATACCTGGTTTTTAATAAATATCCAATAAAGTATGCAGAACTTTGTCTGACTGAAGCCCGGAAGAATAAAACTTAAATAGTGTTAGCTAAAAAATGCAATTCAAAGAAAAGAAAGTCACATTATCATTATGTAAAACAATAAATCATGCCTGAATATCTCCAACTCCTTTGAGAAGCCCCAACAGCAAAGACTTGATACCTTCCTCGTCAATTACAGTGACAACAGTTTCTGCTGCTTTCTTGGCGAGACATTGAACCTCCGACATTTTCAAGGTGAAAGCATGACAAATGCAAATTATGCAATGAAAAAAAAAACACAAATCAACTCAAGCAATGACTCAAATTTAAATGATGTGAATGACGAAACCAAGTAAATGGCATTATGGCATAAAAATTAGGTTACTACCATATCAGTATAGCCCATTGCAGTGAGTAAAGCAGGAAGGATGGTACCCAAGGGGGGCATCAAGACAAGGTCCAGCAACCTCTGCTAAAGCTCCCAAAGCATGAGCATTGAAGGCACTGGATATAAAGCCAAAGATCATTGTGAATAATAAAGAAATACTACTCTATACAAAAAGCTATAAGAAACAGACACAATACTTACGAAAGGGGAAGGTGGACAAGCTTGGGAAGGATATGAGGCAGCACAGCACTGGTCCTGACACTGAAAGAAGCATCCAATACATTTTAAGGTGGACAAGCTTGGGAAGGATATGAGGCAGCACAGCACTGGTCCTGAAATTGAAAGAAGCATCCAATACATTTTAAAAATCAGAAAAGGTGCCCAGGCAGATATGTAAGAAAATACACATTTGCAAATGGTTTTCAACCTTAAAATCCGTTTTAAACCATCCACATCAAACATCCATTTTGCATGCAATAAGTGTCGGAACAATCTCATCAATTGCTTGCATTCCAGCAGTCTACACAAGGAACCATAATCAATTCATCATCAAACTAATATTTAAAATATAAAAACTGGTATGTCAACACACCAAGAACTAACTAGTGGTACCATGTAGAGAGTGCTGAATGCCAACACTGCTGATTCACGAACCTCAGGTCATGCTATAACATCGGAAAATATCAATATGAAAATTTCATACAGGAAAGCAGAAACAAAATTGCTTCCTTCAATACAAATGAAGCTTCGTATCATACATAACAACTTCAATAAGTTGTGAATTAAGTAAGCGTTCTAAGATAATCATTGACGAGACAAATGTTTCATGTTTGACAAGATATGAGATTGGACCGAAACAAAAAGATCAAGTTGAGCATTCTCACATGAAAGCACTCTCTACCTAAAAGACAAGAAAATTACCTCAATTATGAATAGGGGGAGGAAATGACCCAGCAACCACAATGTCTTCATCAATAAAAATATGTGAAAAATGATACACTTAATAAGGTAAAAAAAAAAAAAAAAATTGACAATACATGACCCACCTGTCTAGCTTTCCCCTCTTCAAGTTTTTGCCTCTTTATAGCTTCATTTTCTTGAGCGATATTTGGAGTTTCAGATGTAATTTTAATATTTGCGTACCTGTGAATCAATAATTGAAAAGAAACATATTACACAGATTAATGCTTTTCACTTGTGTTTGGGTTGCTGACTTCAATGCAGAGGGGTTCCTGATCATACTTACTACTTTTTTTAGTAGTCTGGTGCTTCTTAGCATCAGTTTGTTAGGCTGTTTTCTGAGAAGTTATTTTTGGTAGCTGAGGGGTGCGTGCATGCTCCCATTAAATAATCTTAGAAGTCAAGTTGATATTCACAGAGTGGAGCAAACCATGAAGTGAGGACAGCTTCTTACAGGATCCTTGAGAACAGATATTACAGCAGAAACAGAACCATGAACAGCTGACTGCTTGTCACCAGATCCCTGAGAAGTTAGCAAAATGTAATAAGAATCATAACCCCCAAAACAACAGTAGAATACTATGCAGATGGATCAAAACATACCAAATTGGCTTCCCCGTCAGGAATCACTTCTCATCCAATCAACAATCCTTATACATGGCTCAAAAGTTAAGGCTTATTATGCAAATTCCAGTGGATTGGTGCCCATATTACGGAATTAAGAATCAGACCAATTGTGAAATCCTATATATACATGCATTCAAGATTTATCTCAAAGCATAAAACAACAGCGACAAATTCACAAAGGTAAACACACAGCTGAAATTAATAAATTAACCATCTCTTCATTAAAAAGCATTTCATATAAATCAGTTAGTAAATAGTGGCTTCACATACTGTGACAGGCTGGTTATACCATTTGTGTGAAAAGAATGAATTACCTAAAAATGCCATGGGAAACATCCATTCCAACTATCGATGGAGAATACTCCACTGCAAGCAAGAAATTCATACCATCAAGTTATAATAAATCAGGGAAATGAAGAAAGAGAATAAATATGAGGACAAGTAGGGGAAGAATAATACCTCACACCATGAGAAAGATAAACATGCACAAATGAGAAGGGAGTGTAGATGAGGAAAAAGGGGTAGAAAGCTTAAAAATAACAACACGAATAAGAGATTGAAAGACAAGGAAGGAGGAGATTAACAAAAAGACAAAGAACTTGGAGGATGAGAAGGAAAGGACAAGATAAAAATTAAAGATACATAAATGGGGAAAAAGAAACGAAGAAAAAATAAGAATTATGAGAGTAATGAAGGGAAAAAAGGAAGAAAATGTGAGTGAAATGAGAAATAGAAGAAGAAGAACAACAAGAACAAGAAGAAAAGGAAGAAGAGAAAGAGTGGGTATAATAATTAGAAAGAGAATGAATATGAGAACAAGAGAAGACAAAAAAGAGTAGCAGTAGACAAACAGGAAAGAGAAGATGAAGGAATATGGAAAATGAAGAATGAGGGTCAAAAAGGAGAAAAAGATAAAAATTAAACTTTGATGAAAAGAATAAAGAGAAGAAAAATAAGGTGGATGAGGATAAGAGATAGAAAGAGAAAGGAAGAGGATAAAAGGAGAAAGAAAAAAGACGAGAGACTGAGAAAAG